TTTTGGCAAATAACCCTCCCTCCCTTGCGTGGATGAACTTGAGGCTGTTGGAATCTATCGTGGCCCCTTCGATACCAGAAAGAAAACACGCTTGCACACGGCTACAGTATCGAGCAATCTTTTTGCTGACGGCAGGGACCGATCATAGTAGTAGCTTTTATCACACCAGAATGTTTTTCAGCTAGCTCCCACCTGTGATATATGTCATGATGCTCCCGAAAACGTTTGTCTATCCTGACCCCTAAGACGTCCATGACATGTACGTGCGGTAATTCAACAGCTGGTTCAACATTATCAATAACCATGCTACCCTCAGCATCTGGCGATAGAGTGTTCATATACCTGAGTGGCTCCTTTTTCCAATCAAAGCCGTGTCGCTTCAGCGCCGTCGTCATCTCTCCGATCATTATCTCAAGCTGATCATCCGAAACTGCAAAAAGGAATACATTATCAGCCCACAACAAGTTAGTAATCTTCCACTCGTTTGGCGCCCCAACTGTTCCCAGAGGGGACCCCAGGCCACGCTCAAACCATCCAGTACACACCGGCTCGAAAATCATGATGCTGACGAGAACCCACAACATTGGGGCTTCCATCGATCCAGTTCTGATACAACTATCCCAAGGAATATCGGATGTCTCGATCTCCTGAAAACGAAGCGTGGCCATGTTATTGGTATATCCTTCGAGCACTGCATATGCCAAATTCGGGTCGACGTTGGAGAACTTCATAGCCTCCGCCGCACAAGGTATGGTGAAATTGTCGAAGGCTCTGGCGACATCAAGTGACGCCCAAGACAGCGAGTACGATTTGCCCCACATGGCCGTGTGCCTCACAAGATTCTTGAGGCCACTCGTCACCTCATGGGTTCTCCTTCCAGGCATGAATCCATATAATTGACAGTGCTTGTGGCTATCAATCGATCTGACATGCCTTTCCAGAAGTTGTGCTAGACAACTGCTATACCACTTGCTGAATACACTCAGAAGTACACTGGCTCGTGTTTCTGCGAAGCAAAGGGCCCCATTCTTTTTGGTGAGTAGCGTGACACAAAGCATTCTCCATTCTTGAGAAGTGACAGATCCCCTGACAAAGAGCTTCTGGGAGGTCTGCAATATCATTCATAGAGATGTCCAAGGTAAAGCTTTTAGCAGAGATGCACCGATACCGTCTGCTCCCACTGCCCTCCCCATCTTTAATCTCGCCAAGTAAGAGCCCCATGGTAATCGGATTTCCACCGAGAGATGTCGCCTCAGCCTCCTGGAGTAACTTCCGAACACACTCATCATTGGCAACCTTCTGGGAGCTGTCCGCGTATCTGTTTAACCCATGTTGTTGGAGTGCCCTTTCCCAAGCTATCCTATCCTCCGTTTTGACCCCATCAACCATGACGTGCGTGATGTGCTTACGTGTCTTCTTTCCGTCCCTAAATGTGCACTGGACCTGGCGACTACGATAATGTCGTCGTACTTTTTTCCAAATCCGTCGACTCTGCCGAAACTCCTCTTTCGTGATCTCCCCCCTCTTCCATTGCTTGTGTTTTTGATAGTGTTGACTCCTTACCTCCACCTCCTCCTTGGTCATCGATGGGGGCCCCAGGGGGTCATGTAAGAGCCCTTCAGGAAACAATGATGCTGTTCTCCTGATAGCCTTTGCCTGGACCTCAACATCGATCTCGTCCTCAGTGGAAATCACGTCCTCCTCCTCTCCTACTGCAAACGGATGAGATGCGGGAGTAAGGGCATGATCAAGACGCCATGCCACAACCTTCTCCATCCCTGGCGGCACTCTCCACTTGGCAAAGGAAGGAATAGCTGGCACCGCCTTTCGAGATCTCATCTTACTCAATTGGGGCACATTCATTTCCAACGACTTGTGATCACTCAAGAGCGTGACGGGCGTGCCCGATGGTATGTTACACGGTAGAATCCAATGTTTAGCAACAGCAAGATGCGGCCAACTGCGTGGGATGGCTAAATAATCGTACACATGCTCATATCCATACTGGGAACGCCACGTACATGCACTCACACCCTCCCGAGATCCCCTTTGATCCCCAACAGCGCTGGTGAGCTGGAGCCCCAGGGCGCCCATAGTGGTACACAAAGCGTCCGCCATACAGGTTCTGGTAGCGTGCTTCTGTCGTTCATGCCCCCCCCCGTCGTGGAGCCTCGGAGCCCAAGGTAGCTTCCCCAGGCACCCGGAAACCGTCCCTGACCGAGTTACGAAAAACTTCCACATTCGCATCCATCGAGATAATCACATGCTTGATCCCGAACTCCTTCTTAAGGTCCTGGACGGATAACGCCATAATAAGTAGGAGTTGCTGATACCATGCTATTGTTTCCCGCTGCTTTTTTTCCAGTTTCCAGCAGAATCGAGAGAATCTGTGCGTGGCAGGTAGAGGGATACAAAAAGGAAACCCTGGAAGACACAGGTGACGAAACGTTATCCAGGTTGATGTTTGCGAAAGAGCGACAACAGCTTTTTACCCACGGCAAACCCTGCCCTTCCTGTATTACATCGGAAGATATGATACGGCGTATCAGTATCACCAACCTCTTCCTGCATGAATTGACATGCTTGGAGTCCAATGACGCCCAACCCCACGTCAGTGAAACGCTTGAAAACTGCGGCAGTCTGACGCGTCCCAAGCCGCCTAACATTCCAGCCTGCCACGCGGCAGCCTGGGCACCCCTACTCCGACCTGTTGCTCTTTGCCTGGAGCTCCTGTGCGTTAATCGAGCTGTCGACTCCCGCAATCTCCGAGGCTGTGAGCTTCCATCCATCTCCTCGCGTCCAGACTCCAAAGCATACCTCATGTGCTCTTTGCATCTGCGGGCGGGCGTACGCCCAACTCAAGGTACTCCCACCGTGTTCAACTCTGCACTGGGTCGTCGATACTTGTTTCATACTGCGAAAGATCGCCGTAAGCTTCTTACCTGCTCGAACTTGGGGCTCCTTCCATGGAGGGTTCTCAACTTCCAAAGTCAAACGTTGGTCGATCCCGATTCCCAAGGAGTCCTCACTGCGTAATCTCACGTCTTTGTTTTGAACAGCTTCCCACCACTCTCTCCGTACCTCCCACACCGTATGTTTGGATACTCCTGGCTTGAAAAAGACCTTAATCTGATAGGCTCCATCCCGTCGGTGGTTGGCTCCAGAGGTCGCGATGCGATCGAAGATCTTAACCTCCTCACTCTCACTATGTCCAGAAATGTCATTGGTGTGTACTTTCACCGTCTGCTCTGAGTTATCAAGAGGCAAGTTTCGATCAGTACGTCCAACCACCTGTCTCGGATCACCTGTGGCCCATCCCTTAAGAACAATCCATCCTGGTGTATGCTCTGGGCGTACAATATTCCAATACGCGCTGTCAATACCCCTTCGACTCCCAGCATCAGAGGGCGGTCCAGAAGTGCCTGCCCTAGTACTGGCCCCATGGAGAACACGTGCTGAATCCAAATTCTGATTCTGAAGCTTTGTGATGGCCTGCTCCTGCTCTAACTGTTTCCGTTTCATCTCCTCCACATCCCTGGCGACGTTATTCAACGAGCCCCTGACAGGTGCAACCTCCCCCCGAACTAAAACACGTGTTTGTTCTATGAAATTCTCGAGTTTGGATTCCATCGTTCTTGTTAGATTGGAAAACATCATAGCCAGGAAATCTTCAAGTCCCTCCCCAACGGCATGATCAGCATCCTGAAGGACCCTGCGCTGGCGGTGGCGGCGGTGGGGCCGCCTTCCTGGAAGGCAGAGACGGGCGACCAACACCTGGATCGCATGCTGCTGATGACTTGGCCTGCACTGGAGGTCCTGGTTTAACAGCTGTCGATGAGGCATCACTGGGGTCCGCGGGTGCCTGCTCTCTCGGGCCTCCAGGGGCTGGGGCTGGACGGAAGCCTCCAGGGTCCCCTCGCCAAGCCTCTCCCTCACGAGAACCTGCCGCACCTCCTCCTCCAGCTCCTCTAGCTTCCTCACCACGTAAATCTGCATCATCCACCTCCATACCTGCTCCTGCTGCCATTCTGCTAAGATGAAGGGCCCGTAGAAAGTCGCCCTCCTCAGGTGCCTCTTCAAGGGGTATGCCACGATCAATATCGTCGAGATCTATCTGCACACACTCCTGCCTGCGAAACAATAAGTTGTCCTGATGATATACAGCGCTCTGGAAAGAGTTCCACACTGAGTTCCCACTGTTGTCGAAATCGTCAGAGAAAGCCGTGGTGTCGACAAATGCACACACAACTGCGTCGGAGGAAAAACTGGATAAGGTGGACCAGCACACACGTGACTGCACAAGCAACAACTGTAACAGCATGCGACAGTGCATGCACCAATCCTGCACCAACAAGAGACAAGGAAGACACAGAAGAGATAAGCTGCAAGCAACAAATCCAAGTGTACCTGAAATAGACCTGTCGAGAACCAGCTGCCAGAGAGTTCCAGCTGCCAGACTGCAGGCTCCCCTGCCGCAGCGATCGCACAGCCCCCCGTGCGCGCGGCCGACCCCCTGCCCTTCCGCACAATGCGGCTCGAGCCGCACGAGGAGGCCCCACGAGCCCCGGCGGCAACCTCGGTTACCGCCGGAAACCTTGGTTTTTTGAGTTTGAGCCAGGGCGCGGACAGCTGTGACAGCTGAGCCCTAAGACTCCCAAACGGAGCACAGGGTAGCAAGAGAAGGCATCTCTTATCATCACACTGCCGAGCCACGGAGGCATAGGCATCGGAAAAGGATGCAGGAAGAAAGAAAGCAGCATCTCTTATCTTCACACTGCCGAGCCACGGAGGCGCAGGCATAGGAATAAGATGCAAGAATATTGACTGAATGAAGAGACGGAACCAAGCAAAGTGAAAGAGGCTACCCAAAACGTGTTCCACGGCCAAACAGAGCCGTCAATGGAGGCACATCCCTCCACAGAGCGCCCTCCGTCGAAGAATCCACGGAGGCCGTCTAGTTTGTTGTACTCGCATATACAATAAGAGAGGTAAGGCCACAGTTAAGGCCAAAAGGTTACACGAAGGTTCCTAATGTGGCTCTGCAAGCGTTGTTCCATCAACCGTTGAGCACCACTTGAGTAGAATGTCAAGCACCGCCAATGTCCGAAGCACCACCCTGCAATACGGTGCATCTTCATCTTGGCCAACCGACACCATCCTCGATGTATCTGGACGCCCGAGTCCTCCTCCCCATCACGGTGCAAAGCCTCACACAGACGGTTGAGAGCAGCCTTTTTCAAATAGAAATTTGCCCTCTCTCGCTGGGCGGCCGTGTTATCCCATGCGTGGAAGGCCGCATCCGAATCAGCGTCCTCCTCGCACTCAGACTCCTCAGGACTCGGCGCCTCCTCAGGACTCGGAACCTTGGTTACCGCCGGGAACTCGTAGAGCTTCCTCGTGCAACGCGGGCGCGGCAATCTCGCATTGCGCGCGCGAGGGCGCAGTCTCATGGAGGAGGACGTGGAGAAGACGCAGCGAGGAGAAAGCATCAGTGGAACATGTAAAAGAGTACGAATAGTTTTCTGGTTCCAACTCTAGCATGACGAGATCGGGCATCTGGATACTCGAAAAAAGCGCGTCTGACAAATGTATTCCGATTCTGTGCCAAACAGCTCTGTAGCTCCTCTGCAGCTCGAGTTAGCTCCAGAAAGTTACCATCATCTTGCTAAAATTTAGCAGAGTATGGATAGTGTTTCTGACCCAGCTCTGGTAGCAGACCGAATTCAGGCGTCTAGATACTTTAGACTAGCGCTTATTATTATTTCCTTTCGACATACGTGGCAAACAGCTCTGTAGCTCATCTGCACCACGAGTTAAATCAAGAAAACCATAACCATCCCTTGAAAATTTGCCGAGTACGAATAATTGTTCGAACCCAGCTCTTATACCAGACCGAGTTCAGGCGTCAAGATACGTTAGACTAGCGCGCCTGATGATTTCCTGCCGATTGCTGTCGAACAGATCTGTAGCTCGTCTGCAGCTCCAGTTTACTCAAGCAAACCATCACCATCTCAAAAAAAAGAGCACAGTACAAATAGTTGCCAGCTCCAGCGCTGATAGCAGACCGAGTTCAGGCATCTAGATACTTTAAACTAGCGTGCCTCCTGATTTCCTTCCGATTGCTGTGCCGAGCAGCTCTGTAGCTCATCTGCGGCTCGAGTCAAGTCGAGAAAACCATCACCATCTCCCAAAAATTGACAGAATACGAATAGTTGTTCGGCCCCAGCACTGATAGCAAACCGAGTGCAAGCGTCTAGATACTTTAAACTAGCGCGCCTATTGATGTTCGCCTGATTGCTGTGCCGAATAGCTCTGTAGCTCATCTGCAGCTCAAGTTAAGTCAAGAAAACTGTCACCATCTCCAAAAAATTAGCGGAGTACGAATAGTTTTTCAGCCCCAGCGTTGATAGCAGACCGAGTTCAGGCGGCTGAACACTTTAAACTAGCGCGCCTAATGATTTCCTTCCGATTGCTGTGCCGCACAGCTCTGTAGCTCATCTGCAGCTCGATTCAAGTCAAGAACACCATCACTACCTCTTAAAACTAGCAGAGTACGGATAGGTTGTCGGATGCAGCTCTGATAGAAGACCGAGTTCAGGCACTTCCAACTAGCGCGCCTGATGATTTAGTCTGATTGCTGTGCCGAACAGTTCTGTAGCTGATCTGCAGCTTGAGTTAAGTCAAGAAACTCATCATCCTCTCCAACAAAATAATGGAATACGAATAGTTTCGCGGACCTAGCTCTGGAAGCAGACCGACTTCAGACATGTAGCTGCTTGAGACGAACGCGAATGACGATTCTGGATCGATTGGGTGTCGACACCAGGTCTGTAGCCACCCTACAGCTCGAGTTAAGTACAGAAAACCGACAGCACCTGCCAAGATGACACGAAACAGCCGATCCCGCCCCAGTGCTTTTTGGCAGTGATAGGTACCCGACCACCCTGAGATTAAGACGGCGAGCGGGGATAGGATCAAATATGAGGAGAAAAATACTAGAGCTCTAACGACTTGTTGAATTTCGAGAAATCGAATTTAAACAAATCAGGAGAACAAACAAAAACAAAAAAACACAAAAACTTCCGTCGATATGTGTTTCCCAACTAGCCCCCCAGCGCGCCGGAATTACTCTTCAAGCTTCGCCGCTAACGCTCTTAGGGAAGCTCTACGAGTCACTCTTCTAGCTTCACCGCTAACGCTCTTAGGGGGGCTCTACGAGTCACTCTTCTAGCTTTGCCACTAACTGGGAGACGGCGGTGAACCGTCTCTTTAGGTCGGGTATGCAAACTAGCTGCACCCTGCGCCCGAATTCCTCTTAGCTCATCTTGCCGAAGAGCTCTACGAGGTATTTCCAACCAGCAAAACTCACCAAAAAGTCCGTCGAGATTTTTCTTGCCAACTAGCTCTCCAGCGCGCCGGAACTGGGCACCGGCGGTAAACCGTCAACCTTGGTTTTTTGCGGTTTGCGGTCCGCCACTAGAATCCGAATCCGAATCGGCGGAGCAGTGCAACTGAGCCCCGGCGGTAACCTTGGTTACCGCCGGGGGACTCGTAGAGCTTCGTTGCCATATACCATCTCTAAAGAATAAGCAGAGTGCGAATAGTTGTTCAGCCCGAGCGCTAATAGCAGACTGATTGCAGCCGTCTCGATACATTCAACTAGCGCCGCTGATGATTTCCTGCCGATTGCTCTGCAGAATAGCCCTGTAGCTCATGCGCAGCGCGAGTTGACCAAGAAAACACATACCGCCTCCAAGAAATTAGCAGAGTACGAATAGTTGTTCAGCCCGAGCGCTCATAGAAGACTGATTTCAGGGGTCTAGACACTATCAAATAGCGCACCTCATGACGGTCTCCGGATTGCTGTGCCTAAGAGCTCGGGAGCTCATCTGCAGCTCGAGTTCACTAAGGAAAACCATTCTATGACCAGGGGAAAAGCAGAATATGAATAGTTGTTCGGCTTCTGTGCTGAGACAGACCGAATCCAAGCGCGAGATATCCTCAGACTAGCGCATCTGACGATTCCCTCTCGATTTCGGTGCCAAAGAGCTCTGAAGCTTAGATGCTGCTCGACAAAATACTAGAGCTCTCACGAATTGTTGAATTTCGAGAACATAATTTTCAACTGAGCAAAAGTCACCAAAGGTCCGTCCTGATTTCTCTTGCCAACTAGCTCTCCAGCGCCCCGGAACTGGGATCCGGCGGTAAACCGTCAACCAGGTAGCCACCGGAAGCCTCGCAGACCTCACTTCTCGCGCGGCGCTGATCGGAATACATGAAAGAAGCTTTCTGAAGGATGAGCCAAGAAAATCGAAAAATCACGTTTTGCGGTTTCTTCCCAAAGTTGGTTCCTGCAAGTCTTTTGATTGTGATATTGCAGCTACGCACCTGATAATTGCACAGACATACGCGGCATAACCCACTACAGGTGAAAACGATCTTGTTTCTCAAAATGACTTGTCGAATATCTTTCAAATCATGGCAAAACCGACCCGAAGTCATCACAGTGTCTCTTTAGGTCGGGTCTGCCAACTAGCTGCACCCTGCGCCCGCATTCCTCTTAGCTCATCTTGCCGAAGAGCTCTACGAGGTATTACTGTCAAGCTTCCAGCAACTAGCTGAGGGAAGCTCCACGAGTGACTCTCAAGTTTCCAGCAACTAGCCGAGGGAAGCTCTACGAGTTACTCGTAAGCTTTCCGGCAAACTAGCTAATGGAAGCTCTACGAGTTACTCGTAAGCTTCCAGCAACTAGCTAAGGGAAGCTCTCCGAGTCACGGGGCTTTTCTGAAGCATTTCTGAAGCGCTGCCTGGCAACGCTTCAGAAGCGCTTCAGGATAGCCCCAAAGAGCTCTGCAGGTAAGCTTTCCAGTGACTCGTAGAGCTCTTCGTTATTCCCGGGGAGCTCTCTGAGACCTACAAGGTTTTAGATTAGACGCCGGACGGTGGTGGTGCCAGCCAGCAGCCCATCTTCGCCACTCCAGAATCCCCGCAGAAAGTTGTAACTCGTAGAGCTTCCCTTAGCTAGTTGCTGGAAGCTTAAGAGTAATTCGAACGCGCTGGAGAGCTAGTTGGCAAGAAACATCTCGACGGACCTTTTGATGACTTTTGCTCGGTTGAAAATTATGTTCTCGAAATTCAACAATTCGTTAGAGCTCTAGTATTTATCCCCGTGATATTCGATCTTATTCCCGCTCGCCGTCTTGATCTCAGCTCGATCGGGTACCTTTTACTGCCAAAAGGCGCCCCGGCGGGACCGGCTGTTTCGAGTCATCTTGAGAGGCGTTATCGGTTTTTGTACTTAACTCGAGCTATAGGAGAGCTACAGAGCTGATACTCACAGAAAAGGATTCAGAATCATCAGGCGCGTTCATCTGAAGCATCTAGAGGTCTGAATCCAGTCTGCTACTCAAGCTAGGTCCGGGAGACTATTCGTATTATACAGATTGTCTTGACAGATGCTGTCGATTTTGGATACTTAAATCGAGCTGCAGGAGAGCTACTCGGCTGATGCGCCCGCGTAATCAATTCAAAATCATCACACGCGTTCGTATCAAGCATCTAGAGAACTCTGTCCACCATGCGACCTATGTCCGAGAAACTATCAGGGCTGTTCTGCAAAGCAATTGGAAGAAAATCATCAGAGGTGCTAGGTGAATGTATCTAAACGGCTGCAATCAGTCTGCTATGAGCGCTCGGGCTGAACAACTATTCGTACTCTGCTTATTCTTTCGAGATGGTATATGGCAAGGGAGCTCTACGAGTCCCCCAGCGGCAACCAAGGTTGACAGTTGACCGCCAGCGCCCAGTTTCAGATCGCTGCGGGTCCGGGAGCGCTTCCCGCGCGCACCCACGCGTGCCTGCACGCGTGCAGGCACGCGTAGAAGCCTGTCTGGCAGCGCTTCAGAAGCGCCTCAGGAGAGCTGCCGAGAGCTTTTCAGGAAAGCTTTTTTTCCAGCTCCCGGAGTGCCTCTGTGCTCCTCGGGTTTTGCCGGGGGAGCTCTCTGAGAGCTATAGGGTTGCATATTAGAAGCGGGGCGGTGGTGGGCTCCGTTGGGTGAGGTTTCCAGCGTCTCCACGAACTGGGATCCGGCGGTAAACCGTCAACCAGGTAACCGCCGGGAGCCTCGTAGAGCTCTTTTCTCGCGCGGCGCTGCTCTGAACACACGGAAAAAGCTTTCTCAAGCGTGAAGAAAAAAGCTCGAAAAATCACGTCTTTGGGTTTCTTCCCAAAGTCGGTTCCGGCAAGTCTTTTGATAGTAATATTGCAGCTACGGACCTTAGAATTGGACTGGCAGACGCGGCATAACCCACTACACGTGAGAAAAATACTGGTTCTCAAAACGAATTTCAAAATCTTGAAATCTCCGAAAAACCGCCCTCAAGTTGACACATTGTCTCTTTTGGTCGGGTCTGCCAACTGGGATCCGGCGGTAAACCCTCAACCAGGTAACCGCCGGGAGCCTCGTAGAGCTCTTTTCTCGCGCGGCGC